TTAGGCATATGATGGCTATTATCACCTCATTAAGAGCATGTAAGACAACGTTTTTTACGGTTTTGCAAAGGTCCTTCTGGGGGAGGTGGAGTTTGTGAGGAACCAACCGATGAAAGCCTTCCTCGGAATCGAGCAGTTCCACATTTGAGACACTCTAACAATGTCACTAAACCACCGTGTATTCTGCCACTGGGAGTTTATGGCTCTGACAGTATTGGATTCAGAGATGAAAGAGCGGGGGTGTGGGGATATGAAAGTAAATCAGGGAGGATGGGAAAAAAGAAAACTGGTGGATGAGAGACAAGCGGCTGCAGGCAGACATGTGTTGTTAAATGTTGCTTTGTCAAAAGAAGCTTCACACCAGGGTATCAAGAAATGATCACTGCTCTGTATCTAATATCAACAACAACTACTGTTAAACAATTCTACAGAGAAACATTAAGTCCAGTTCAGATTTGTGGGTCGATGCAGGGTTAAGAAAGGAACACGTTTTTGCTCTGTATGCCAAGCTGAACATGATGGACATGCTGTAAGTTAAAAATTGTCATGAAGTGAGAGTGAGGAGATTGATGTGACAGAAAGCTGCTTTTAAAATCATTTGACAGATTTAGGGCTTAACCAGGCTGAAGTGTCCTAGTAAGAGGATAGACATCAGAAACCCACACGAATAGATTAAATGCCCTTTTGTAGAAAATCTCCAGGAGGGAGGAAAAGATAGAAAGATATTTCCTAATTGGATGATTTCATGATGGAGGTAGAATGCTGTGCTATTGATTGTGCTATTTTTAGTCTGTCAGTTCTCAGCTCAAAGCAATGTCCCCCTCAGTCCCTTCATCATGATCATCATATGGAGGTACCTGGTTGCGCTTTTCACCACAAAAGACAGACTTTTTCCGCTGTTGTTTGAGATTATCTACAATATGGTACCTCTTACTGACAGTGTTTCAAGAAACTTGATGCTAAGTGTATTCGGAATCCAGTCATGATGAGTGATGTCTGTCCCAAACTGAATGGCAACCAAAGTGCAACTTTTGAGGAATACAATCGCCTGTCAGAAGAGAATGTGGAACAGGCAAATTTGCTCAGATGTCTGAAATGCAGGAGTAGCTCTGGGATTAAAGAAACATAAAATGGCAACCCATTAAAATAAAATACTCATGAAAAAATATTGTTACCCAGATCATATTTATATAACTGTTCACATTTGTAAGCAGAGTAGAAGTAATGAGAAATTATGAGGACGTTTAAAAGGTCAAAAAGAACCAAAAAAAGAATATTTGAAATGCGATCAAGATTAATCCCTGGCCTATGATCTGCTGTATTCGTCAGCAGTCAGTCATCATCCTCCGGTTTTTACTATTTTTATCATCAAGAACACCATCTCTGTGGAATCTCTATACATTATAATCAGTCATAATGTGATGAGTGAAAAGCAGCTACATGCTGCAGTTGAAAGCCATTACATAGCAACAATGTGGGTGGACAGTGAATCAGAGTATCTTATATAACATCTCCACTAAACAAAATTTCTTAGCGTGGATGAAGAAAAGTAAGTGTGGAAAAAGACAACACAGGATGTAAGGAAATCTTCAATTCCATGAGTGGTTATTTGTGGCTGCCTACAATTATCTTTAAGTTGCAGATGTGTTGTGCAATGGTGGCAAATTACACCAGGATTTCACTTGAAATAGTCCCTTTATTGTCATGTTGAGTAATATATTGGTTTGACAGTCTGCCTGGTTGGGGTCTTTTCTTTAACTTTGAAGACCACAGCACGTGTAAGCAGGTGCATATTTCATGTTTTTTAAATCAAACAAATAAGAACAAATAAGTATGTCATTCCGCCAAACAACACACTCCACCATCAACACACCAATCCAAGTGTAGTGTGCAATTAATGAGTTTGTGTATAACATTTCCACTGTTAAAAGAAAAAAGATTGGACTTCCAGGTCGAGGTGAGTATGTGTGACTGAGGAGCTTTGCATCATCAAAATCAGACTGACTCCCCATCACCTAACTTCACACTCAACCAGGAGCTCCCAGGGTATGACTGACATGAAGCTAGCAGCATTGAGAAGGGTTGTATTGCACTTCTTGAGCACTTTCAAATACAATCAAATGTGTGATGTTGAATCTTATATTTCACAGAAAATTGAGCAATTTAGGAAACAGTTGCGGTTGTAGGGGTGCTTTGTAGAAGAAAATTGATCATTTTAAAGACCAAAGAGGTTTTCTTATATGGGAAGTTTCTCATGGGATGTTTTAGTTGTGTTAAAGAGGCAAGGAGGTCTGTCAAAAGATACAAATGTGTTCCCTAACAAGCTCTGTTGTGGTGCCTTTTCCTCCTTTGAGTCTGTGCTTGCTTTGAGTGCCAAAACACCAAAACAAATTTAAAAATAGCACAAAAACAAATGTAAAAGGGCAACATTACCCAAAACAGAACAAAACTTGGAAATTCAGAAAATGCATCAGTCTACATCAATAAAAACAACATATGAGAGTATGCTATAATGAAAAATAACTTTTCAAGGTAAATAAAACATTAGAAGGATAAGCAGTTTCAGCATGTGACTATTTCTTCAAATATCTTCATGTTTCTGTTTCGCTGTTATTTTTGTCTGAATTTATATCTGCATCCAAGGCCCTATTTTTATTCTGAACCAGATGCGTTGTCTAAACACTTATCTAAAATTTGAATTCGAGTTCTGTAAGTAAAGCTCTAGAGGCTGGTATCCTCACTCACTCTCACCTTTATATCCTTTGCATCCCCATTTGTAATCTATTTGGTACAGCCGCCATTATTGGTCATGGCACTGTAATTGTGACATTAAGAGGCCCTTTGGTTCCAGAGGGATCCGCAAATGTTGTGCTCAAATACGGCGTGAAAGTCACATAGCTTGAGCCGAGCAGAGATAAACAGGCCAAATACACAGAGCTTGTTAGTCATGGTCCCCTAACTATTGAACTGTTTGTGTAGGATTGTCCAAGTCATCCAATCTTGTCTGCACAGACATGATCCCAAAAAGGCTGTTGGTACACAACCATCTGAGCGGTTTTCAAATGCATTGTTTCTTCCCTGATCAAAACTCCCAGCTTGAAACTGTTTGTTGTTTATCTGTTGATCTGTCATCCTAAAATAATGTCATGCCAAAGAATTATCACAATATGCTCATATTTAACAATGTTCTGATGTAATCAATGAGTGATCCAGAATTTACTTGTGCCAAGATGTACATGAGTCATCAAGTGAATCATAATGTATTACCAAAGTGACGGACATCTTGATAAAATCCATCAGGCACTCAGCTCTCACGTTGGAAATGACCAAAAAAATAGAGGGCGTATAATTGGATGTGATTTCCTTCATTAGACGATGAGCAGCCAACAAATTGGGCCTTGTCCTCTGCCAGCCACATGGGTCACAGCAATCAGTCATCTTAAAAGAGTCATCCAGCCTCAACCTGGGAGTATAGCACCAGAGCTGCAGCCAAATGTTGTTCTGCCTGTCAAGTAAAGTTAAGTGTTCCTTTGGTGTATTTAGCATCACACCCTGGGAAGTTCTTGTGGACTTGAGGTTCAAGAAGATCTGTGCTTTGTTAAAAAAAAATATTTCAGATGCTACAACTAACTTCCAGTAGCAAACCTGCATACATACTTTGTTTCTCTGTGCAAAAGTCCAAAAAAGATTTAATCCAAGCTCTGCTTGAGGAGCTCTTCATTAATTATTGCAGACTGTGGAGGGGAGAGTACTGCAGGCTAACATCTGGTGCCTGGTAAGGAAAATGGCAGGGGAGGCTTCCTGGGTCGAGCTCTGTCTTTGCCCTCAGCTGTGCTGCTGTTTGAAGCCCTGCCCTCTCATAATCTCCATACTCAGAAGAATACCTTACTCATATGGATGACAACTGTTTTCAAAAGACGTTACTAATTTGAATAATAATTTATCATTTGTGGTTGTTCACACTTTGGCTGTCAACATCAGTTTGGTTTTTATCTATGTTTTTAAGATTTGTATAAAATGCATAGTTGAACATTTACATTTAAAATATTGACCCGACACATTGCATTTCAGATCTTTGGGATTTGTGTAAACTGCTTTGATTCTTAGTGGTTTAAATTTTAGTATTGATGGCCATCCTGTGGTCTGGGTATTTTATTTGTTGATTATCTTGTCAGTAGTTACACAAGAAATAGTTTGCTTTGTAAATTAACTTTAATGCTACTACTCTTTTCCTCAAACCTCTTGTAACTGAAACACAAACTTTGAGTATTTGCCCATTTCACTTAAACTCACTTCTCCAGTGAGTTTAATCTAGTTTGGTGAAGTAGTTTCTCCAAATAAATAAATGAATAAATAAATGAATCAGACTAAATAGATTGATGGATAAATATGATATAAAAGAAACTCTTGGTAGGGTGTCAGAACTCAATCTTTGTCAAATCATCAAAAAACAGTTTTCAAACTTGGTTGGATTAGCTTAGCTTTGACTCAGAAAGCTTTTTTTATTGGTAATTTTGATTATGGAGAATGGTGAACAAATTAAACATCTCAGAAGTTTAAAGGCATGGGAACTGCAAAAGCAGGGGCAGCATCACTCAATGGTGCCATCATGTGGAAAAAAGCTGCACACACAAAATGCAACAGATTCAGCACAAAACGAAGATAATTTCCTTCAACTTAAGCTCACTAATAAACAAACAATCAGTCAGCAGACATCAGCTATACTAAATGAACGATGTGTCAGCTACAACAAAATAATCTTTTTTAATTTTCTGAGTAACTTGAATCCCTTTTTTTTCACAGACTTCAGTTGGAACAACCAAACAGGTTTGTAGAGAATCAGTCAGAGGAGTCAGTCTGAGCAAATCCAATAGCACTGGTCAACACAAGGCTGGCAGAGTGTGTTGAAGGGTTTCAGCCGGTCTCACATAGAATGTGGTCACACCCACACATTATCCATTTACAGCTTACGACTTCATCTTTGCGACATTAGCCCCCAGTCCCTGCAGCCTCCAGGTTAACCTACTTTTTGTTTCCCACTTCAAACAGTTTTTCCTGTTTCTTTCATGGATTGGTCTTTACTCTTTAACCTGATTTTAACAGCTAAACAACTAAATGTTTATGACAGGGGTAGATAAGGGATGTTCAGTGTAGGGTCATAAAAAGAGACACTATGACAGGTTTTGATTTTGGTTCTGCCATTTCTGACTTGTGGGCATTCAATTACTTTCATTGTTAAAGACTAAGAAAAACAACAACTACGAACAAAGACATTAGCTAATGGATATTCAGCATTTCGCTTCTCTGAATTTGAGTTTCTGTCTAAACATCCTCTTGTGGGACTTAACCGTCAAATCATCTTCATGGCAAACCACAACCCAGCCCGAGTTGTGCTCCTGTTTGTTGGGTTGATCACCGTTTTGGCTGCCATCACGTTCAACTGTCTTTCAGGATTTGGAGATAAATCAGGTAAATATATGTCAAACATGTGAGGCATTTAAAAAAATGATTGTGTAGATTACATAAACTCCTATGAATTCTAAATTTAGGTGTCTTTAAGCAGCGCACAGAGGATGTGACACTCAAGTACATGACACCCATAACTCCTGCTCAGTGGACTTTTTTTGTATGGGATTTCCTATATTTTTGGATTTTTGCCATGTTTGTATACTTTTTGGTGGGACTCTGCAGAAGGTAAGCACTGTTCGTCCTGCTTTTACACAAAATGTATAAGTGTTGTACAGCTGCAGCCCACAGCCGGAATGTGTCCATTTCTTAATACTTTTGTAACCCTCTCTATTACTGCATGCAAAAAATCACTCCACCTTTTCCAGAGAGAGTTTTTTCTTTCTCTGTTTAGTGATTTTCTCTTTTCTCTCAAACATTCTATAAACTCGGCAACTGGTTTCCCCAAAGGCACAATTTGTTTGCTGTGATGCATTTTTGTTTATCTGACAATATTTTCTCTGCTCCCAGCAGGAGTGTTTATGATTGGATGTTCACCACCCCTGCAATACTGCCCTATGGATTTCATGTCACAACTATCGTCAACCTCTGTTTGAACATCACATGGTTATTTTTGTATGATAGAGAGTGAGTGCACAGGTTCAGCTTGACCATACATTCTTAAAAGTGAATATTGACATGGCCGATTCTCTTTCTTGCCTAGGTTGCTGTTTCCTGTACTAATAATTTCAACACTAATGATGATCACAACTTACATCATCCTGTTTTTCTCCTGCCATGGACTGAAGATCTATGGAGCTTGGCTGAACAAATATCACAAAATAGACCTTTGGCTCTTCCGTATATTGGTAAAATTCTTGATATAGAGCCTTTTCCTGCATAGCCATTTTATTGTTTTTGGAACTGATAACACATTTAAAGGTTTGGACGGAAGGGAAGTATCCAGATTGTAAAAGACAGTAATAAATGAAAACATTCACACAGATAAGTACAAGAGGGCAATTTTTCTAGACTATAGCAAAGATTTATATATGTTTAGGACTTAACCAAATTATGTTATGTTGAACTTCATCAAGGTGAACCATAACATTGCTTGTGACATTTTCCCATGTGCACATGAGACCATTTGAAAACATGTTCTTGTGGTCTTGGCTTTGATATCGCTCTGGCATGTGTGATTAGCCAAGTAAATAAGCCCTATTCAAAAATACCAAGCTATTTTAAAGTCACATTTTATGGATTTATCAACAGCATCCCATTTCCCACTGCACCCCGAAGATGCACTCTAAGGTTAAAGAATTCAGCCACTGATCCGAGAACTGCTCAGTCACCCATAACTAAGGACTGAAACTCCAAAATAGTCCTTCTTACTGGCTCTGCCTAGTCTGTGCAAGTCATCTGTGGATTAGATGCAGTGGTGAGGTGAACCAAATTTAGGCCACAGCAAAGCTATGTGACTGGTTTCAAGTCTCTTGAATTGGACTTGAAATATAGTTTCACATAAAAAAAAAGTTGTTCATAAATCGTGTAAAAAAGATTATTTAAGTAAATGAACCCTACCATATATGTAGCAGCAGCAGTTTCATTGGATCATTATGGAAATTCTTCACAAGAAATATAGATAAAGAAAAGCAGGTGTAAGAGTAACCTTAAATCAAAATGGCCAAATTTAAATGGAAAAGAGTGGTTGGAGTAGGCAATGTTAGAATAGTTTAGGATTAAAGTTCCAAAAATCTATGTGATATTCTTAATGTGGTATTTGAGCCTATGATAAACCATCACAAAGTATGTTCCCCTTGAGCGTAAACTCACACTAAATGGAGATGTAAAAAGGTGTGACATGCCCACTGTCCCCATGTGTCATTTGATTTGAGCAAAAGTAAAAGTAGTGAAACATGTGATTGTAGATATAGCGATGAAAAAAAGCCAGGTAATACAAAGATAAGAAAGGAAGAGTATTTTTCACCAGAAGCTCCAAGAGAAAGAGTTAATGTTCAATATTGAACACACACTTTCTCTACATATCAAAACGGACTGCCTACTAATGGATTGTCTAGATAAAGCATTCAAACCATACCTGTACTCAGAGAGATTACAGGAGGAAAGAATTATTTGTGTCTTTGCAGCAAGTGTCTAAATAGACCAGTGTAGCATCACTCAGACACAACTACCCTCACTCAACAACCAATTACAGCCACTGGCTCACAGCAACTATGAAATATCTCCACTAGGACACTGTTCAAATCCTGCTGCTATTTGGTTTCTGTTTTTTTATTCAACTCCCAAAAAATCAATATCTTGTTAAAAACATATCCAGACACTTCTGCCTGTGTTGTCTCCCCTACGGACAGTCTGACTCAGACCGCAGCTTTCAAGACGGACAGTTTTGCTTCTCAGAAACCTCAGAATAACAGAAAGAATTACCCAAATGTTTTTATGACGGATGCACACCCATGCACCATGCCACTCCAGTGCCAAACTTTGTGTATGTGACTGGCACCACAGCTTTACCCTGTTAAGATTACATACCAAAAGATGCCACTCTCTGAACCAACGTGCTTCATACTTTTGTCTCCTCATTGTGTTGAACAAGGTACAAAATGGAATGGCAGTGTACGCAACATGGGGAACACTTTCTACTTTGCTGAACATGACAGTATACTTACATCATCAGACACCAATACCCAGATGTGACAGTGCAATGCTGGCTCTGCTCCTGCTCCTGATGGAGCTGTTAGCTTGGTGAGTGGTAATGCCTGCTGTTTTAGATCATGTCTCCGCCTGTGTTTTTGTTTATGCCTCAAGACATGAGGAGACGTATCTCTTTGTTCTTAGGTTTCTGTTGGAGAACTTCTACCTTGACAAGCATGTACGTTACATAGTGACCATCTACCCAGTGGTAATCCTGTGGTTGGGAGGCATTCTGAGCAACTACAAATGCTTTGATTGTTCTATTTACATTTTTTCAGGTACTGTTTGGAAATTCGCATTATACATATTTTCTAATGCATCTGCATGTACCATTAATTCCTTCATGCTCAGATATTTAATGTCTTCTTTCTTCTTCAGCTTTGATCTTGGTCATTTCCTGCATTATGTTCGTGGTTCGGATGACCATTATCACATGGAGACATTACAAACAACCACTTTACAAAGACAATGCACTCAGTATGTCACCAGTGGAAATATCACTGACACAGATAAAACTGTTTCTATGAATAACAAACTAAATAAATAGAATGCTGCTGTTAAAGGATCACATGTACGTTCAATGTTAAGAGAGATTTATTTTTTTAATCATTCTTTTGTTAAAACTTGAATTTGTTCACAACTTTGAACTTACTGTGTGCATAACTAATGTAATATTTGAATGCACTGACTTGTGGAAATTATTGATTAAAAGAAAAGGAGTGACCAAATAATGTTTTCATTCATTTGTCATTATGAACACACATCTTTCTACTGTTCTTGGTTTGGTTTTTGATGACACAACTATAACAAGAAAGGACAGGTTATGATGACCCTTATCTGATGGGACCTCATGAGCAGATTTCCAGACCTGTGGAACAACCCCATCAGAAAAAAAGAGATCAAGGAGATAGGTCACTAACAGTGATTTAAATAGTCCTGTTGTAGGTCTAAAGTAAGGTATAGTTTAAGCAGCTTATATAACAATGAGGATAAAAAAGAACAACTGTCTGCAGCAGGAAAATGCACACAAATACATACTTGATGGACTTTAGATGGATTCTGTCTCTCTAAACCCACATGCACAGACATGCATAATAAATCCGCTGATATCATAATTGCAGGGATCGGTGAGCATTGCAGGTGCAGTCAACGTGAGGTCATAAATCTGTGCAGCACATGCAATCATCCAAAGTCCAATGTACTACATCCTGGTCAAAGCCATTGCGTCTCAAGCACCTCTCAGATGTAGTTGGGATATCATAGCAAGTTTGAAGATGTCTTTCCTCTCAATAAATAATAGTAACCATGCAGTGATACACACTGGATGCATCATCCTTGCATTCATCACTCAGGTGATCGCAAGCATCTTCTTCTCTCTTGGGCAGGAAGGCAGTGTGCCCAATGGTGAGTGACTCAACATAACTGGAGATTTCATTCGTGGAACTCAGCTTGGAGGGAAAGATTGTTTGTTTCTATTGTGATTTCACAGCAGGAAACTATGATACACGTCTTCACTGAATTAACGCTGTTCATGTCTTCCTGAAATACCTTTGACATGTCACTGAAAAGCATATCAATTTTGCTAGCTGTTACTCTGGATCAAAAATACAACTGACTCACAGACACACATTGGCATTGAGTAGGTATTTCATATAGTTTATATCTGCCTCCACAAGTACTCTACATGAGTATCGTATTTACTTTAGTTTTTTTATGTTTTAAACAGTTAGTGACAATGTCAGCATTATTTTCTCAAATATCCTGATGATGTCATTCATGTTCTTTTGTGATCTTAGCTCTGTTTCAGACCTCTTTCAGGAATGTTTCTGATACCTTCCACCTGGAGGTGACCATGGACTGGTGGTCAATAAACTTCTGGATTATGATTGATTTGTGGTCCATGGCTTGGCTCGCATATGCCATGGTCACCATCTTTCGAAGGTAGAGTAAAATAGAACTTTTATGCAAATCTGCAGTGCAAGAATGGCAGTTTTCAGTGTTTTTGATCATCATGTTGCTTTTCTTTCTGTAGAAATGTTCTTGTTCCTGTGTCCTGCAATCCAGAAATCCACCCCCCAGTTTTCTATCTCATCTGGGCAACAATTAATGTTGCAAGAGTATGCATCATGCTGCTGTTTGACCGCAAGTAAGTTGTGTGCAACGCTCTCATCATGCAGCTTTCTCTCAAAAAAACATAAACAGTGGAAGCTTTAAGCTATCGCCATTTTCTACAGCTACATACTAGGAGCTGTGGTGTTCAAGTGGATTCTACCCGTCGACAGTTTCTACATGCTCTACATGTCATACTTCAACCTTAATAAGCACAAAACCTGGCTGGCAATCAACAACCCCAGCATGATCTCATGGACACGTTACCTGGTGTGCTTTTTATTTACATATAGATCACTGAAATGAGCTCTAAATATTCAGAATCAGAACTTTGGAGTTGTCGTAAAGTTCCTGTCATAGTCCAAGTTTAATGTTGTACTATCACCATTGTATGCTTCATCATTTGTGGCAGACCCAGAATGGGCTTGCAATGTTTGCCTGGTGGTCTCTTCTGGATGCTGCAGTTGGTCTTGGTATAGTGCTCAAGTACAACAACAATGTGCCAGACCCACTGATAAGTACCATCACCCTCTCCATCATCTTTTTGTGCATTTTCGTCTGGTAAGAAACAAGATTTATTGAATGCATTTTTTGTTTAAGTTTGGCTTTGGAAAAGACAGTTATGGAAGTTATTTCCTCCCTTCAGGTTCACCCTTCAAAGTTTGCTCTTAACCAAGTACATGAGCCACACCTACAGCGTTTACGCTATTCTCATTCTGGGCCTCGGTGCGATGCTAACCAACAGCTACCGTGTCAGTGATCTCTCTGTAAACACAGCCATCTGCGGTAAGAAATCTACATGCTGTTGCATTACAGCAACAGTTTACCAGTATTTTACCATGGATGTTGACACTGGCCTCTTTTGCCTACAGGGATCCTTATGCTTCTCACAACTATCATGAGTCTCACCCATACCATCTCTGCATGCATGTACACGGGAGAGTCAAGCAAACCCCTTGCTGTGGGGCCTTATGTGACTTTTGATGGCTGTGACACTGTATGTCAACTCGAAGGAAACATCAAGCACAAACCTCAGAAGTGATATTGCAAACAAAAGACCGTAAAAATACAGTTTGATCACTTGCCTTGAATATCAGTTGATACAGTCTGACCATTTACATCTGCACCAGCTGGCTGTTCCACTTCAAATTTGCACCACAAGGGAGCAGCAAACACTTACTTAACAGAGGGAATATGAAATTTTGGATATACCAGAAGATGGCATAGTTCCTCGAGCTTTCACATAATATTATGCTCATGATGTTGAAAATAATGTAATTGATCGAAAACTATCCAATTCTATTCGAGGTTAACACATACTTTGTTAACAAATGAGGCTCAGATGCTTTTTATCTGTGTAACCGTCATTCAGGAAAAATTGTAAATAAAAGTGGAATCAATAAAAAAAGATGTGAGGAAAAAATTCTCCAATTAAATCAGAGTACATTATGAAACAAAACGGCTGTGCTCCCTCGATTCTTGTCTCAGTGCCTCGCCTTGTGTGTGACACTGTATCACAGAGATAATCACAACCGCTCAAGTTTATGAGGGCCCTCTTTCTTGATGCAGCTTAAGGGATGGAATATCAAACATGGTCAATGGCTGTTTGGAAGAGCTGTGCGACCTTTGATGAGGACACTGAGCCGTGTTGAACTGAGCATCACATGAAAGCAGAGGAGCAAAGAAAGACAATAGGGATATGAATGTGGACATGGCAATATGAGTTTGTTTGGTGAGAATAATAAAGGAAGTAAATTAGAAACAAAAATAATTGTTAAACCTCATAAACACAAAATGAGCTGTATGTAATCCAGATATTTTGGAAATTATTTGCATGACATTTTTAATTTTTTTTATATTTTACAACAAACTGCATATTTTGGTGTAGTTTTCTCCACTTGAGCTTGCAAAAGCATCCTGTGCAGTGGGTAGGTGTCTCTGACCCCAATCCCACACTCACATTTGGACATTCATTTGGAAGAAAATCAGTAGAAGATTATCATAATGTGGAAGTGATTAGCTTCCAGGGTGATAGTTCAAAGACACTGCATCAATGTTCAGAATTTTTTAATCACAATCTTGTTTTGCGAACATTTTGAATACACTATGCACTTTTTCAGAAATCCAAACACTAGGAAACATTTCTTCAAAGATGCAACATTAAAAGTAATGAACTTTTGCCCATTACTAAAGCAGTGGACTTTATTGTAATTTATTGAGATTTCTGTATTTTTGTGATTATAATGTCAGCAATTTAATCAATTAATGAAGAACAAACCGGTCCTTAGTTGCAGTTTCGTTGTAAACTTCACTGTAAATGGAACATTTAAAAGACAAGAACAACCACATGAAGAAGTTTTGATAATTTAAGGAATATATTGGTTTTCATTTGAAATCTAACTAAATGCACCCACTGAGATCATTAAAGGTGGCGTTAGATTAAAAATATATTTCCACAGTACAAGAGTAAGATAAAAATATAACCCCAAAATATGCATGAGCAATATTAGATTCAAAATGACCAATCCCATTGTCTTTAAAACATAATGTCCACTGGTTCCTCCTTGGAAAAACAAATTATAAATGACGACTACTAATTAAAGATGTCCATTAAATTGCGACATGGGTGTGAATCCTTCGCATATTGCACCATTGCATTATCACTCTGCCGCTCTGAGGCCAAATTCTCCATGGACTAAAATGCTGGGTGGAATGGTAGACATGTGGCAAGAAATGAAGGAATTTTACCGTCTGGTAGCATTGTAATTGTTTCTGTACTCTCCAAAGACCTCTTCAACCATAAGAGAAATAACCTAGATATGCAAATTAGCAATCCCAATTAATTTAATTCATATAATTATGAGGAGAAAAGAGATAGGGTTGGAATAGAAGTCTTACCTTGTGCTAACTTGTCCTCCCATTCAAGCCCCCTCACTCTACAGGGTACAGCTAAATTAGCTCAGAATATTGAAGCATGCTCGGCTACACAGATGAGCATCAATTATCTAACATTTTAATGAGCAGTCTTCAGTCTATATAATCAACAAAGTTTGAGCCACTGCTAGAGATCAATCTAACTTGGGGATTTAATGTGATCACTAAGTCCATGAGCACGACCCCATTTTAAATTATCCTAAAAATCTTAAACATTGCCATCCAGTGTCTGTCTGAGCTGTCTGAGCTCTTTCCAAAGGAACAATGAGAAAGGGAGTGTCCGTACTAAATGCAAAGAAACTAGGAATTAAAACAAAACTTGGCTTGGCTGCCATTAAGCAAAGTCAGTGCACATTGTGGATTGGTCAACAGCCCATCAAAATGTGAACTGACAATAGAGGAATCTTGATTTGAAAAGGCCAACTCAGCAACAATAGTTAAGAGAAAACTGTGTAATTAGACGCAGACCCAGAGTATGTTGTCACTTTGTGAGTAAGCGGATCAAAATTTGAAAATTTTCCTGCCATTCTCAAATGTGTCTTCCTGACCATGAAAACTTAAGATGATAAACTTCTGTAAATTTGTTGACACACATGAATTCTTGCACAAATTGATGTCATCAAGTAACCATTGTTTCATGTTCCCAACTGAATTTGTTGTAGGTGGTTGCCTGGGTTAACATTAAACATTATTTGTTGAGCCTGAATTACGCATGACAAAATGTTTTGAAATAATAAAAGAGTACATTGCAAGTTGCCACTGTAGATACATTATGGGTTTTTTTTCAACATTACAGCAAATGTTACTGATAGGATATTTTCCCACTGAAGAATATTAGAGCAACCGAGTTCCGAGTCAGCTGGAATATGGAATGTGGATGTGACTTTATTCATTCAGGATAAGGTGTTTTACAGCTGCAAAGACTGAAAACAATAAATGATCAACTCCCTTTCTTACTGGAAAGAAAAGCTCAACATTTCCATAAATTAAAAAAGCTTTTTTGTGTGTGTTGGTGCGTGTGAATATAATCACAGTGATTTTACTGTATGTTTTTGCACATTGTAGACAATACATTCACAGGTGCACTTACAGGGTTCCAAAGATGCTGAATACAACATTAACACTAATCACTATAAGGGATGCGTAATGATACAGGATTTGAGCTGGACCTGAAATAAAACTTGCAATCTTTGAATAAAAGACCTTTCTTCAGTATTCATGGGGCGTTTTATGCACAAAAATAAAAACAACATGCACAAGGTTGAGATGTTTTCTTTTCCTGCAAGCAAACAACTTCGGCAGTCTTAAATATTGCAACTGTAGCACTCCAATACCAATTAGCTTGCTAAAACAATTAGGATATATGTAAATTTCCTGAATTAATTAATCCCTTGACACACTAACACTAATTAGCTTGTAATCCCTGATTCATTTTGCTCCATACTTAAAACAAACCCACCCAGTCCAGATATAGGGACATCAGATACCAGAGTGTGAAATGTGTAAGAATAATTATTCCTTTAAATGGCTGTTTTTTTACCCTCACTAGATTTTCCTAATTAGTGGTGATTTTTTTCTGTCAGTGCAGATGAGCATCAGCAGATGTCTTCTAGGACAGAGGGAAACCAACAAGGAGCATATTGATATTAATCAAAAGACATAGACTTTTAATCTATAGTTGTAATTAAAGACAGCAATAATTATACAGAATATGGTTCTCTAGTGGTCTGAAAGTGACTTAAAAGAGACTGAAATGTAATCAATTGGACTGCAACATGTTTATAACCATTTTTCAGGTGAACATCCGAAAATTAATAGCAGATTGTTAGATTGCCTACTTCTCTAATTGTTAATAGATTATTTTCTAATGGATATTAGAATATATTTGACTCTACCAAAATGTTACAAACAATGAAGACACTTATATCAAAGTGATTAGAGGAAAGGTAAATCTTTCAAGTGCATCAACTGTCAAACGTTTCAGCGAGAAACATTTTTCCATCAAAAACTCACGAGTATTTGTATTTTACCAGTTTTAAATGATCCATTTCGAACGTGTCACTAAGGCACAGCATTTATCTAAAAAACAGTGTGGAGCAAATGTAGAAACAAAATTAAATAAGTCTTATGGTCGCTTGCAGACTCAAACTTTTTTCAGGCGTCTAGAACATGAGAATAAAGTGGACACCTTCCAAGATTAAAGGTGTCACCACAAACTTCACATTAATACCAGATGAAGCAGAGTAAATGGGATGGTGGTATTACTGTATCATGTCTGAGAAGGGATCAAACTCAAGTATCTGACTCATTGCACCCCAAACATCCAGGGTCTTGCATTGCAACAGATTACAGATTAAAGGACCCTTCAAGCTATTGCACGAGTGTTTCTGACACACCAGTTGGTGTCTGGGATTAAATATGATGACCAAAGCTAGAGTGGGACAAGTATAGTGTGTCTTTGTGTGAGCAGGTTTTTTGGGCAGGTTGGGAATCTTGAAGTAAAGCAGCCAAGACAAAAATAGACTAAATGGAGAGAAAAACAACTGAAGAAAGCATATAAATATCAGACATAAAATAGATTTGAATCATGTTCTTAGCTGTTGCAAATTTTGAAAGAGCTATTGTAACTTGTCCCTTAAAAAATGCAAATGTCAATCTTAGGAAAGAGGGGGTTTTGTGTTGGACGGTCTTTATGAGCAGCCGATGGAACAGTCCTCTCAGTCTCAGTACATATGACCTTGAAAGCTTTATTAATTTCCTTATTTTTTAGGGCAGCACCTCAGGCTCTTCACCTAAAAGATGAGTCAGGGGATCACTTGACACATTAGATGGAAATAAGACAATTTTCAGTTAAACTGACTTAAACAGTTCATTAACCATTTCAATTATGCATTTTTATTGAAGAATAATTAAATGAAAATGATTGAATTAGGCTCAATAGATTTGCGTGCAGACTTCCCTTTCAGTTAGTCAAAAAGTAGCAATTATTATAGATAATTTGTAACAGGAAACTGGGTGCTGTCTGTTCAAATCATATCAGCACCGTTAGTAATAAAGAAAAAAAAGGACCACATCACTTGACACTACAGAGCAGTTACCAGAATATCATTCCAAGTAGCTGGAGCAGCACTCTTAAAAAGATAAATGAAGAGATCACCATGCAGAATAATCCTATTGTTGACTCAAGATGCTTTGAAAATGCTTTACACAAACTGTCATTTATCCACTTCAATTAAACGCCATACTCATCATAATGAAAAAATCCTCTGGAACAATTGGTTTGCATTCACTCACCATGCAGTGAGCAAATCAGGAAATGGGATCAAATCTTAGTATAAAAGGATGAATCAAAGATCTTTTGTTTCCCCCTACTGCATTGAAATGTCTACTAATTTGCAGTTTTTGCACTGATTCACAGTGTTTTGAAATGCATTGCACTCAATGTGTCGTCTCTCAAAATGTGTGAAAAGGACTGAGATATCATGAGCATTGTGATTATTACAAAACCAAGAATGAATAATACACAAACTTATTTTCTGACAGATAATGACACTTCTTGCGTGCTTGAAACAAGCAGATGAAAAGCTAAAAAAACAAACACTGCCTTACAATTCAAAATTTTTGCATACAGGGACATAATACTGTACATGAACAACACTTCATTTACACTTTATTTAACAACAGCTGAACCAGGGTTCCAGGGTGTGGTGGTTAGCACCATCGCCTCACATCAAGAGGGTTCCGGGTTTGAGTCCTGGGGGAACCAGGACCTTTCTGTGTGGAGCATGCATGTTCTACCTGTGTCTGCGTGGGTTTTCTCCGAGTTCTCTGGCTTCCTCCCACCGGCAAGAAACCTGCATGTTAGGTTGAATGGACATTCCAAATTTCCATTAGGAGTGATTGTGGGTGTGCGTTGTTGTTCGTTCTTGTGTGTCTCTGTGTGGCCCTGCGATGGACTGGCCGACAGTCCAGGGTGTCCTCGCCTCTCACCCATTGACCACTGGGATAAGATCCACTTCCCCATTAGGCAATAAGCGATTACGATAATGGATGGATGGGGGTTCAACAGTTTGTGGTGAAATTTCAGCCTATTCTTGTTCACACCATTGTCTCAGGTATCTGTTTTTTTATTTAATCTTTTTTTCCTTCGTTTACAGCGAATTTATTTATTCTCGCAGAGCTCATCACACCTTTTCCGTCATGTTAAGGTCTGGGCTTTGACTAAGCCTTTGCAACAACTTGATTATTCTTTTCTTTTTCAGACACCCTGTGTCTGTTGCTGTGTTTGTGATTGTTATCCTGCTGCATGATCCAATGTCAACCAATCTTTAGCTGTTGGACATTCTTAGATTTGACTCTAGATTGTTTAGGCCCAGTCATCATTCACCCACCAACACGCTTAAACATTGGTATGAGGTGTTTGTGGTGATATGTGGTGTCCATCTTTTGGTCAATTCCGTTATAAGTTCACTCCACTTCGATCTCATCTGTCATTTTCAGATGAAACTTTACAAACCTCGGAGTTTCCACTGGGATCAGTCTTTTTCATTTTATGTATTCCATTGACAACACTCTGCAGACTGTTAGTTCAGTGTAATAGATACAGAAATATTGAGTGGAACAGTGCTAGCAGCAAGACATTAAAGAAACCATGTTATAACAAACACTGTTTTGAATTGACCATCAAATGTGACTGTGGAGAAATGAAAAAAAAAAAGAAAAAAAATACCTGTTCAGTCAGTTGCTTCAAATTCGAGAATAAAAGAGGATATAGTATTTATATTCTCAGCATGTTCACAGCACCATATCAGAGTGATGTATCAAGATGATGTAGGTGCAAAAAAAGACACCTATCTCTTCCATGGTAGAAGTGCCTGAAACGACAAGATCACATATGTGGAACAAAAGATAAGTCTGTCAGCTGAAAAAGGTTGTGCTAGAAGTAAAGAACAGCATAAAACAGCATGCCTGACAACAAAATATGTTTTGTTTGTTGGTTTGTTTGAATCCCCTTACAATTCTATTACACACTTATTCCTCCAGGGGCCATTTTGACAACACAAAAGAAAACCATAAATGAAGCCACACATGGCTGACACGATGACATAGACAGTGTGACAACTTAGCCAGGAGATATATATTAACAACAATTGAAAAGTGGAATGCCATGAAATCTATATAACAGGCATACAATGTAACATTACATCCAAAATTAGACATTAAGATCATAGACGAAGCAGTTTTGTTATGGTAGGTATCAGCCACTCAATTATTTTGTGATGAATGTTTGAGAGGTTTTGCTTACAGAGGTTCCTTTGTTTCATAATGATGCTAGGGGTTACAATGTGTTTACTGTCTGTTTTCCTCTTTGTGTCATATACTGTAGCTTCCTCTGCTGCAGAAGTTATTTTCTCCCACAGAACACCCCGCCAAGACACCTTATCTGTAGTTCAGGATTTTCTTCTTTTACTCATTACAGACAAGGTTGCTCTCACTCTGATGTGTCACATTCTGACATTTTTCAGGACTTTTCGACATCATAAATCAATGTAAAGATGAACTTGAGGCATCAGTTTTCAAAGTTCCAGAGAAAGTGTTGTAAAAACTCTTATTCAAAGCAAAACTACTCTTTTCTAAAGCTTAAAATCAGATGTAAATCGTTTCAGACCTAACAAATACTCCCCATTTCAGTATTTATTGGTATTTTGATTTCACCCATGTGTATGAATTTCAATTGCTCTTTCTAAACCTTAAATGTGTTGGTTTTAAAACTATTAATAAATAACTACTAAAACTAAAAACCCACAAAATTGTTCAAGGATATTTTCCTCTTAATGACTTTATTGATCTTTCAGTTAATAAAGATTGCTCAGTACATTGGGCTAAAAAGTTTTTTTTTTAAAGAGCATACCCAGGACTGTTAGCAAATTTTACATTATTTTTTAATTTAACGGTACAGCTCAACTATTGACATACATAAAACTCCCTGTGAAAACCTAAAATATATGTGTTTTGGACAAGTGGATTCTTTATTATTTATGATGTGTTCCACCTGCACATGTAATCAGACATAGCAGACCTTGCCTTCTATCCAAAGTAATTCCAAACTCTGAGTACCTGAGGTACACTAAGGTGAAGTTAACAGATATATTTCTTTGAATGCATCTAGAGTTTGGAGCATCATCCAAGTGAAATCATTTTTTCTGCTGAGTGTACTCTGTCAGCAGCCTACCAGAAAGGGACTCCACTCCTCCATCTTCCTAATTTACCGAATCACCTCTCCCATTTCTTCATCCTGCACTGCTTCCCTCAGCACAAAGTCACCTCTCCTCCTTCAACCCGCTCCTGCTTTGCAAACTACTGATATCCTCTGATGCTGTGATTATCTGAGGATTGCACAGTGTGGATGGACATATATCATTCAAGGACAGTAGAGTGTGGAGCTTTATAATGTCAGCTGGTTTTAAGATCAAATGAGGGAAACAACAACTGTTCAGTACAATTTTTCTATTTTGGAGCATATCACGTTTTTTATTGCCATGTTATATTTAACCACTGAAAATGAAATAAAACAAAAAGGGATGTGCAGTTTATTCATGGGCTGTTTTGCTGTATGTTGAATTATGAGAAAGTGTGTAAAAATACTGAAAGGCAAATACACAGCTTAGGTACAAGTTACAAAGATGGTAGGAGAATGTACTTGAAACAATGACATTTCTGAAAGGCTCGATAAATCAAGGCTCTGCCTCAGTCCCTGAGTTGACTAGCCTGACTGTTTTCAGGCACGTGACCTCCTCATAATAAACATGGGGATCCTGAATATAAAATGTCAGTTATATCTGTCTTTCAATTACACAAAACATATATACCATAAGTCAGAAACACAGTGCTCACATTTTGAAATGGGGCAGTTTATCGGCAAATATCCTGACCCAAGACTGCATTCCATGTTTTCTCCTAACAACAATAAAACGTGATAGGTGGTGACAGCATCACTCTGGTTGCAGCAGCTGTAATTACATCGGGGTGGAGTAGTATGGCAGGGCAAGGTCAGGGATGTGATATACAGGACTGTGGCTGGAGGGAAAAGATAGGACCCTTTGCCTCGAGGAAGGAAACAAAGCAGAGGTGGTGTGAGGTTTGCATTTTCATGAGCACGCTGAATGACAGTTGCACAATACATAACACAGTTGGAATTTTCCATGAAAACACAGAAGAAACAGAGTTGAATCTGGAACTTGATAACACTTGTGAGCAAACACACAAATTGCACTGCAGGATGTGAGACTTCCACATGCTTTTATCTGCTGTAATGTATTTATTTTCCTCTCCTTAGCATCGTAACACATCAGGATTAAGCTGGAAGAAGAAGGAACACTGAGCTGTGTCACATTCAGTGGGCTGCATTAACATATTCATGTTCTGTAATTAACAAAATACAGTTTTGCAATGCAGGATTCTGAGGAAGATCAACACTTTAGCCAATTGGATTTTCTGCATCAACATAACTTGTAGGAGGGAGTTATAAAATGAGGTGGAAAAGGAGAAGAGGAATCCTGCTAAAGCTATTTAAAAGTTTTCCTAGAGGAAGGGATGATGTGATAAACACTCTGTGTACCTCTGCATGTGTGCTGCTGCATATTTCATGGTTACTCAGTGGACCCTCTTTTGTCTCAAAGAAATCCCAGAGATAAGAAGTATTGGAGTGTTGGACAGACACACTCCACGCACCCTGAATTAAAAGAAGGGTGGTGTTTGTTTACAATTCATGTCTACGGCGAAACAAATGGGATTTATTTTATGAGATGAGGAGGATCAAGGCTCCCCTGGCACTGACCATGGTGCTGAAACTACAACCGCCACAAGAGCACATCTGTCATATTTGCTTGATGTGTTTGTGTGAGAGATTTATACTCAGGCAGCTTCTCCAAGCTGTTATTGCCTTTCATTTATGAACACATGGATGCCAGTTACCCCTCACAACACCAGTCTGACATTATAAAGTCGGATAAGAATCTGTTTTGCTGAAGCAATCTCATCTGCCAATCTTTTGCTTTATTTAATAGCAGGACTGTTACTAGTACAGGTTGGGAGAAATTCAATTTAGTTTTCAAAATGGTGGCTCGTGTTCTAATGCAAATTGTGATGAATGTATCCAATTAAGAAACATTTTCACAGGACAAACCGAGTGTCCCGCTGGATATCCCAGAGCCCAATCGAGGGAAACTAGATTACAAGTTGTACAGAGCTTCATTCCCTAAACACAAATGGGATTTTAATTTCTTTTGCGCAAAATAAGAGCTCATTTTACTGGCGAGAAATGGGGGGAGCCTAGGGAGTCTCATAAGTCGTGGCATAGAAGGATAAGTCATATCAATCAGTCATCAAGCAGCAGGATCCGTGTTCTTTAAGCTTCCTCCGATCCCAGCATGGGAAGTCTAATTACAGTGATTTTTTTTTCTGAGCACCACAACCACTAATAAAGCGATAATCTTCCGCCTCACTGATTTCTACTAAAAATAAAACTCATATTTAGATCAAGAACATGATACAAACACGCGCACGTCTTCCACATGATCGGAAAACGCAGTTTATGAATTCTCAGGCCCCCCTCCCCCTATCACAACACTGCGTGGATCGTTCCAGCGGCTCTGCGTCCTCGTTTCGAGATGCGTCTCTGCTGTTCTCCTCACTGAGCCAGCCGGTTCAGTCGCTCCGCAGAGAGACCTGCCAAGTCCATTTCGATGGGAAGCTCAAGACTGAGTCGAGATCTTCTAGCGCGAGGACTGCATTATTTTTAACAGTTTAAGGTGGTGAGTTTTTAACCGAATGGCTGCCGAGTTTTCCTCTCTGAGGCGAGAGAACGACACATTTTTCTCTGTAGTTTTGCTCAAAAGTGAGTTTTCTAAGATTCTGTGTAACAAGTGTCTCTGATCATTTTAGCAGACAGACAGCCTTAATGTAATTTTAAAAAACAACAATGTGGATTTTGTGAAGTTGTTATACTAAAGGATTGCACTTCTTATAATTGTATTTCCTCTTATACAATTGCACATGCAGTTTTGTGTTGTCAGTAAGTAAGAAGACTGCAAACATGTGGCCAAAAGACAGCAAAGTGGTACACTTCTATGCCACATTAAAGATTAGATTCTCAAACTGATGAATAACCAGATGGTTAGCCCTCAATGCAAAGGTTTTCCCCATGCTGCTCCATGATTTCTGACAGTAGTCACAGTGAACATCTGCATATCCTTTCCCCTCTTCACCAGCAAATGTCACCCTCAGAGAAGCTCTTCATGTGCAATAGCTGAGCATGAAATCGCTTCTTAATGAAGAGCTTAACACAGAGAGTGTCATTTCTAATCCTGCCGTTTTAATCACAAGACTGACAGTGAATGTGTGTTTTGACACAAATATCAAATTGAATTGAGATGTCAAATAAGTTATACCTGACACTGGTCCTGAAAAAGCTCCACTGGAATTTGGCGGGCAGATTGCACAAAACAGGAAAAAGATTGATGATGATTAAACAAAAAAGAGTAGCCTTCTGAGGATAATGCCAAACAGTGTATCTTTCTTTTGAGAAAATCCCAATGGAAACTAGAACTGCAACAGAAAAAAATAATCTTTGGAGATCATTTGATATGAAAACGGCTTGTTTTTGTTTTAGGCAGCCTTAGAGGAAAGTAAGTTCTTTATTGTTTAGGATCTGTTGTTTGTCGTTTACATGAGAAAGTGTTCAAAGCTCAGACAAACCCAAGAACTTCTGATGAATTTGCTCATTTTAAGAAGATTGTGAAGAGTAATGCATTATACTCGTGTGGAGTTTTTTAATGTGACACCATCTGATGGATAATAAGATATTCATCACAATCCATTCTTGTTTTTCTCCCCAAAAGGATTACAACTGTGTCCAGTGATCCTGCTTGTTCTTTTAAGTATGAAGTTATTCATTTAGTTATCATCCTTTGACACAAGGGGCTTTTAATCCTTTTTAAGTCTTGAAGACCCATGTTTGCTTCCCCCATATGCAAACACGAAGAAATGTATAGATATATACATGTTTAAATACATGATATATATGGATATGTTTTTTTTCCCTCCCCGCCCTCCTTTTCTGTCTGAATGGTTTTCACAGGTCGAATGAAAGCTGTCTTCTGGGACACCTGGTCTGTGATACCAGCAAGGATATTGACGGATTAGGTTACTGAATGCTGCATTTTTTTATGCTTCTTCCCCTCATATGATGATAGCAGGCAAGAAGAGAGAATAGAGCCTCTTGGAGTGTGTTTGGCTGGAGCCTTTGATTAGCAAGTAGGGATCGTGATGTTAAGAGACAGCGTCACATGTCGTTTACTTTCACCAGCTGATCAACAGGGTTCTTGTTGTTTGTACTGTTCAGGTCCTATTGATGATGATGTGACTTAACAAAATCCTCTGGTGCAGCCTGTGAGGGATTCAGCTTACAGAATTCTTTCAATGTTGTTTTTTCTGTAGAAAAACCTGCATTTCCTTAGAAAATTGGGGGCAGAACACTCATCCACTGTACTAAAATCTAATGCACATATTTTTTCTAAAAGACCACTCTTACTTGTTTTTTTGCTCTTCTTTTGTACAGTCATATCTGTTTAGTTGACTTATATCTGAGGTTTACTTTTCCTTATTTTTGTAATCTAACACTGACCTATGAGGAATAGGCAGAATGGCCCTTGTTAAACGCCTGAGGTATGGCAAAATGAAACAAAAATTGGGGTGAAAATCAGTGCCATGGGTCAGAGAACAGAGGGCAGCCAACATCCAAAGAACAGCTTTAAAATGGCCTTCAATAAACCTGGAAAACTATTTCTAAAGACTTCTTAAAGAAATAAATTCCAAGAAATAAAAAAAAGGTTGAGGTTGTGTCAAAGAATAAAGGGCATCATGACAAATGCTGTATTTCAAAATGATTCAAAGAATCTTTTTTTTTTTAAGTAAAGGAACAGTCATTTACTGTCTCCTCTTTGTTGCAGATATTTAATTAGATTAAAAATGTACAACTTGGTATACTTCTGATTCATTAGGTTGATATTTTACAACACGATAAAGTTGTAAGCAGCTACAATGACAAATATTCATCTTGGTTACCTGAAAATCTATGTATTTCTCCCTTTGGGGATAACATGCCCCCAAATGCCTGATGTTGGTGTCCTTATTCCCTCAGTGTCGCATAAGGAGACATGTAGAATGAATGATTACATTTTATATTTAAAATTATGTGTAAAACTCCACTGCAATGTCCAAGATCAAGGTAGGAAATTGTGCTTAGTATTCTAAGAACTGGGAAGATTGCTTGGAGCAGGAATTTATTAATGAAGGTGGAGCTTTGTACCCAGTTCACGTGTAAGTAATAAGTTAAAGTTAATCATAGTTGAAATGCAGATAATTTTAGATGGCCACCATATTTGCCATGCTGTTCATGGCACTTCCGAGCTGCATTTATCAAGGCTTGATTTTAAAAAAGCATCCAGCTATAAGCCTTGAGCAGACTTATTGTTTCTGCAGTCTTGAACGTCATGCTGTGTTTACTTTAAAGATTTTGAATGTATTGATTCTTCTGCTGTGCCAAATCTTCTAATTTCTATGCCGGAAAGAGGAGACACAGTAGTTAGAATGGAGTCTCAAATATACTTTGTTATTCAAAAGAACACGGATGTATTCCTTTGTGACAATGGGCAACACGCATGATAACTGGATGAACAGAGGGATCTCTGTTACGGATATGTACTTTTGACCCGCCAAATTGAGTTAACATTAGTAACTCGAATGAAAACTGTTCATTTTTTAACCATGTCTGACTTTGATGCAAATCAAAGGACGCCAGTGGGATGATGAAACTGAATATTTATGGTCTTTTCATGAACCAGAGATGTTCCAGGGTACTTTCGAGCTATTTTAACAGCAGATGAAATTGCACTTGAAAGTTGTAGGCTGGTTGCTTGACAGCTGAAACGAGAAACTCAAGTGCTTTTTACTTTTAGTGAGCAAATCATTAAACTACCTCTTTTTAATGGCATAGTGATATACAGTGGGGCATTTAAACACCAGTGTATAGCAATTGGTAAATACAAACGTATGATGAAAGCATCTGTAAAATTCTGCTTGGTATGTTGACACATTCATCAAATAAACCCCACCTTTTCTGTCTTTCTGCCACAGAATGTGTCTCTAAATCGCCTTGACCCTTGGCTGTGGGGTTGTGAGCAGCTACCATGACATACAGTAACACCAGCACGCCGACAGCCAACTTCAGTGAGGCTGCAGACGACTATGGTGGAAACATCTACCGGCCCTTCTCTGTTTTCAGCGTTCTCACACTTACTTTACTGGCAATGCTGGTGGTGGCCACATTTGTGTGGAACTTGCTGGTGTTGGTGACCATCCTGAGGGTGAGGACGTTCCACAGAGTGCCTCACAACCTGGTGGCCTCTATGGCCATCTCGGACGTCATGGTGGCTGCCCTGGTCATGCCGCTGAGCCTTGTCCATGAGCTGAACGGGAGACTCTGGAAACTGGGCCGCGTGCTCTGTCAGATTTGGATCTCGTTTGATGTGCTGTGCTGCACGGCCAGCATCTGGAACGTAACGGCCATCGCACTGGACCGCTACTGGTCTATCACCAGGCACTTGGAGTACACACTCAAAACTCGAAAAAAGATCTCCAATGTGATGATTGCACTCACCTGGCTGCTGTCCTCCATTATCTCCTTGTCACCTCTGTTTGGCTGGGGGGAGACGTACTCAGAGGGGATGAAGTGCCAGGTGAGCCAGGAGCCATCCTACACCATCTTTTCCACCTTTGGGGCGTTTTACCTTCCACTTTGTGTGGTTCTTTTTGTTTATTGGAAGATCTACAAGGCAGCTAAATTTCGGATTGGCTCCCGCAAGACGAACACAATCACGCCCATGGCTGAGGTGATAATTCATTTCCTTTTTTTAGAATGAGTCATGAAACTGTTAGTGCTTTATTTCTTGAATCAAACGATAAGTAGATCTTGTCTTGAAACTTGCTAATGCTCCTGACCTGTGCATGTGGACTGCTGTTCCATTGTTTATTATTTTCACTGATGAGCTGTTCATCAGCAATCAGGGAAAGACAAGATTCTGAAGTGTGAGTATTCAGAAAAATAATTGAAGTCATCTTGCTCATCACCATCAGTTTGTTGATGAGCGGAGGCCGAAGGTAGATAGCTATGAATATGCTTTCCGGCATCATTAATGGGCCACTGCACCTTCCAGGCGTTGTGGTGGATCTAATCAGCAAAAATAAAGGTCTAGATCTATTCTGTCAGAAAACATTTAACCAGGGAAGTTTCCCCACAACTTCTCATCTAAAACTTGAGAATCCTACCCAACATACAGCACTGGCAGTGAATATTCTGCTTTTTAGAGGATGCTTTATCGTTTCTCGTCAAAAATAAAGGAAAAGGCTGCTTTTAAAAAGTCATTCATTTTGCTTCCACAGATGGCAGAAACCTTTCACAGAATGTGCACGCTAATGGATATTTTTTGTTCATGTAACATGTGCAATTTCCCCTTTTACTGTGCAGCTGTGGAATAATTTTTTCCACATCGGGAGCTTTTGGTCAAGGAGGACAAATCACTAAATAAATAAACCACATCTGTTACTGGCACTGATTCTCACAAGCTTCATCACACAGGCAATCAGTCCTGGAGCTCAAGCAATTATACGGATACAAATAAGAGATTTTTTTTCCACCGTGTAATTTGGGATTATAACTAACAACATTTCCAAGCTTAAACAAACTCCTGTTTAGTGTCTTTTCAGACCATAACATGCTAAATGACATTGAAGAGATCATCCACCTATAAACATACGTTTCATCTTTTGTCCGTGTACATTCATAGGCAGGCTGTATATTCATGAAGAACTGAATGAATTTATGCTGTTCCTTACTCTAGCAAAAACATTTTTAACTCTTCTACCACATCCATCAATTTAGATTAAATTGGTGGTTCTCCTGGTTGTTTGGCAACCATTTAGGGAAGAAATGTTTCAGAGCTCGAGACTATTGGTCAGTAAATTGCTGCACTAGAATTGATCAAGCACTAGGATTAAGGAGACTTTCACAGAATCTGGATAATTGTTTTTCTGTGCTCAGTGATAAAAATACCATTCCACACTGTGTTTTTCACCTTCCAAATCAAGGTCCAAATCCAACCCACAGGGCTCTTTCAATTTTTTAGAACTGGCTGAGCTTGACTCCTTGTGCATCAAGTGTTCATATACTTTCTCATCTCTGTAATGTAGAGATGAATTTGATGTTAAAAGAGTGTTCAGATAAGTGTATAGAGTCATATTGAACAAAAGCTAACAAAAACATATGGAATAAATTAAAATAAAAAATCCTACTGAACTTCATCAATGTCAAACAGCGGGTTTAAATGAATGAGGATTTTGAAAATAGCCCTCAAACACTTGGCATTCATGAAAAAATAAATTTGAGTTCTAACCAAGAGACATCAAAAGATATTTGTTCCTCCAGAAAAGTCCTTTAATTTTACTTACTGTTTTTTTCAATACATCATATGTGCTGTGCCTCAAAGCATTTCTGGGCAATTTCATTTTCTTATCCACATTCATATGAATATGAATAAATTCCTTGTGTATTTCACTTCATTTGATATCATACACATGTAACAGGTTGAAAAAAATAACACAAAAAGGCAAAGTAAGCTTCTGGGGTCAACATTCTTTACTCAAACATTAGAATCATCACAGCCAGTGACTTTTCAACTCATCCCATATGGTCAGGGTGCTTTTTCTGTTTCATACTGCATATCAGTTGGCCATTTGTTTCTAGTGCTGTTCCTGCATCATTGTGCAATACTATGGTCAACTATTATTTTGGATGTTTCACACATTCTAAGTGGTCTTGACTAAAACATCCTCAGATGAACGAATTAACACAATCATGATTAAACTTGGACTCCAAACATTAGTGAGGTGCTGTTTTGACTAAATTAGATCCAGCTTATTTTCTTTAGCTTAGTCAAGAGGCATTGCTTCTCCTGCTATTATTCATTAAGTGTGCTTATTTTTGTGTTTATTTGTTAGGCAGCCAGGTCAGTTGAAATATCAGGGAAAAGAAAAAGAGACATCCGGCCATTTTTCAGACCACAAAAACGTCAAGTAAGTAGAACATCAAGGGAAGTTTGTTGAATCGTCATTAGAAAGACATCGAGTTGAAATGTTTTATAATGGTGTCACTAGGAGACAGGATCACAGAGACCAGATCTGGGCTCAGAGAGACAGGGACAGCCAGACAGAGGCAGACGGTCTCAGGTAAGTCTGGTAAGCTTTTATCAGTCTAATGGAAAATGGTTTCACATTTAGAATTTTAGAAACAGAACTGAGGTAGTCCCATGGTTCTGCTGACAGTGTGATAAGTAGTTCAGTACATAAAACCAATTAGCCTCTCCTCTACAAAATGCAGTCTTCAAACTCAATTGGAAAAGTAGCATGACTAAAATCAGAAAAAGTCTGAGAATTTTGATGACAGCCCAAGGGAGACAAGCTAATTGAATGAGGATAACACTCATGTCATCAACAGTGCCCCATTCAGCACTTCAGTTGTTTATCTATCTTCTCGTTAATTGATCAGGCCACTGTAGTAGCATACAGGACTCTGCAGAAGATTTGAATCATCACTCTTTTTTCAAAGGGGTTGTTAGGAGGAAGTGACACGTCAGATCTTATGCGCTGACCGAACGATGTTTAGATATTAACACAAGAAACCCCCAGCAACAGCAAACTAAGCAAGGAACCTATTTTGAATGGTAGTCTTTGTTACTTCGTTACTATGAGCATGTTGTAAAGATACAGTCTGTTAAAGTTTAAAGCTGTTTAAGTTACGATCAATGAAAAAATTTATATTACACAAAGATAATGTAGTCTAACTGGCATGAAATATTTGTCACTCTCAAGCGTCGCATTCTGAGCTGTTTTTCTTTAAAAGTACAAAATAAGACCATAACAAAGCCTTTGAAGGCCTAAGAACAATATGGCCATGCTGACTTTGGTCTGGGAAAGGTCCAGTAAAAGGGTTGGTCTGCCTTAAGCTGGATGTGAGTCGGACAGACACTGTAACAAATCTACCAGCTCCCTTCACAGACTTTACACATGGCAGTGGTTGTGCGAGATTAATTATAGATTGTTGTTGTTTTGTTCTTTCATTATCCGTGATTTGTTCTGTGCTTTTGCTTTTGAGTTCCTTGTGTGTAGGTCTTAGTTGATCACTCTTGCCTTCCCCCTTCTGTCCTTCTGTCCCCTTGCCATTCTCACTCATAGTCTCCACAGTGTATTTTCATTCTGGTCATCTGCTCCCTTCCCCTGCTCTGTAATTCAGTTTTCTAGTTTTGCTTTGTCAGATCTTCTATGTTCACACCTATAAAGCTTTTTTTGCCTAATTTCTCACATTTTCTGTTCCAATGCCAACACATTAGTGCTTCAGCTGTGGTTTAAGAGAAGTGCACACTGATAAGGTTTTGATTCCATCGCCTGTTTTATTTTCTTTGGTTGGCAAATGACTATTATTCAGTCTCACATATTGGACTTTTGATTGACAAATTTCTGTCATTAAAGCTCTTTTGACCCTTGCAGTAAATGATGCATAACACTTAGAAAAAGATGTCGGCTGCATCTTGTTTTGAAAGTGGAAGATGACTCATCTGTAATGTTACTTGCAATTTATACTCATTTAAAAAAAAGCACTATCTTGAAGCAAACAAAGAAACAAACATTATTAGATCACTTAAATCAGCCTTAGAATTTCAAACCTCCTTCTCAGATGTAATGTTTGTCGTTTTAGCTTTTCTGTAACTGTCCTTAGTCTATCTTAACAGTAGTAAAACCTTGACAAGCCAAGATGGGTTCAGGTTAATCGATCTAAGAATGAACAAGTCCACCCAAAACTCCCAATGGAAAACAAAAGAGCATAAGGTGGTACAGTTTGAATGCTCAATTTCTGACACAGATTGAAATGTGGCAGTTCCAGCTGAAGTCGTGACCTTGGCAACTTCCCCAGAAGAGTTAGCCTTGAGCCTAGCCAGGCAACAAATGAATGTGGAGGAAGTCTGCAAATAAATGTTGACAATTTATTTGTCTTTTTCTGCATGTTCTGTAAGAAAAATATGCTTATGCTTTACAATCAATGCATTTAAACTCCCTCTGTTCAACCACCTTTAAACCATCATTTTTCAAGCAACCACAGTATGTTAACTGCAGTTGCTGCTTATGTTTTGGCCTATATTGTTGAGGATGAGGATTTTGCTTCTCTAAAGCAAACCAGTTTCCTCTGATCGACTGATGAATCAATAGAGTAACTTATGCTTTCCATTATCGATGCTTTCTAGGTAAAAGAAGAAGCTCAGCAGCCACAGATGGTATTTACCGTGCGGCACGCAACAGTGACCTTCCAGACAGATGGGGACACATGGCGAGAGCAGAAAGAGAAAAAAGCGGCTCTGATGGTTGGCATTTTGATAGGCGTGTTCGTGCTTTGCTGGATCCCCTTCTTCATCACAGAGCTCATTGTGCCGCTGTGCTCCTGTGACATCCCGCCGATATGGAAGAGCATCTTTTTGTGGCTGGGTTACTCCAATTCCTTCTTCAACCCGCTCATCTACACTGCATTTAATAAGAACTACAACAATGCTTTAAGGAACCTCTTCTCCCGACAGCGCTGAAGCACTCTGCAGGCATGGCCGACACATTACACCAGCTTACACAGACCCCCTCTGTGACCAACACTCCACTCTCCTCCAAATGGATGGTAAATAGAATCCTTGTCTTGTTTTTTTTTCTTACAGTCAGATTGTTATTTGATTAACAGAGAAGTAAACTACCAGCTGGACTGAGACAGCTGTCTGAGCATTTGGGTCTGTAAAGACAGGAATTAATAGGTCGTGCTCTGGCAGCAGCTGAGAGCATCTCTTTCAAAATAATAAAGCACAAAGGCTTGGTAACAAAATTGACAACAGTTTCATCATCATTTGTGATGCTGCTTGAAATGAAAACCAGAGCTGGGAAATCTGTCAGAAGCAACAAAAAAAATAAATCATGAATTGATTGCAAAAGGAGGCATGAGAATGATAATTATAGATAAATTCAGATTTAACCAGAAAGAATATGTATTTATTTACGAAAATATATTTTGCTGGGGCCAAAAACGTTGCAAGAAACCTATAAACTGCACAGAGAGCTCCACTGAAAATGCTCTGTGTCACTTTCAATTCAAACATATATGTATATGTCATACCTCTATGTTCTGTTCCCTGATTCTGATGAGCTACATAAAATACATCCCACACAGATTTTTACATCCTCACATTCGTGTGAGCAACAAACTAGAACACAACATTATTTCCCTCATCTGTAAATAACTTGTGCTTTTTAGGATTATCATCCACAAACTCTAGCTCTTTTAAATATGAGCCAATACAGAGGACATGTTGTTACAAAGCTTTTCCAGACAGTGTACCACTAGGGGAGCACTGGAAGAGTATGAAAACCCGCAGTGACTCATGCCCTATTTCATAATTCAACGGTTTAAAAGAAAAAGTCCTCCCAGTTTGAGGGAATTTATTTGTTATTATTTGAAGAATCTTGCCGACAGATAAAAAAAAAAAATCACACTCAGTAGAGAAATGGTCTCCTGAACTTTTTCCAGTTCAGGAGAACTTTTTGCTGAAGGCACAAAGCCTTGAGATGAAGGATATATAAGATGGCCAGAGAAGCAACAGCAATTAAAAAAAAAATCTAATAACTACATGTTGCCCTTGTATTGAGTATACAGTGCTGAGATTCAGCACATTTGTACGTCTACTTTCTTAAATCTAACTAAAGGGAAAGAAGAAAAAGGCCATAAAGGCCACAATCGATCTTTTGTATGTGTGTTTTTGTGCACTGATGTTTTGTTTCAGTGAGTTATTTTTGTTTCATTGTTTTTAGTACAGTATTAAAGTGCACTTCACATATTGTCAATTTGTGCTAGAAGTGTTCATCACTGTAGAATCAAAGGCTGACCTTCTTTTACAAGGTTTAGTATAATGTTATGTAGGAATTCAAGCATAAGAGATTGATTACCAGCACTTGCCAAACTACCTTGGAAAACGTATTTGTACCATTCTGTTTTAATGGGAATAGATCAAACACATTTGCTCTGAGTAACTAACGTGGTTGTCTTGTGAAACTGGTCCATTTGTTGATATTGAATTTCTCATAAATAAACTGAAAGAAAACATGTTTTCTCCTTGTTTTCACTTAGCTAACTTGCATTCTTTCTGTAGCATTTTTACATGACCTTTTGCAATAAGTGCCATTTCAAATTCCATGAAAACTTTTTATATGATATATACCACAAATATGGGAAATGAAGAAATTAATAAAACATCTGCAGATAATACTTACCTTTGAATAAGATTTCTCTGATGTAATGTGAAGAACTGTTCAATGTTTTTTCACGTTGAAAACTTTTAGATTTTAGTGAAGGTTTTGTAATATCTTGAAATTTCTACTCGACCGTATTATTAAAAACATTAGATCAGAAACTCTTATTTAAAATCTTTCACCATGCAACAAAGGGAATGCATTTGTTGAGAAAAAAACAGGTGACAATACTGTTTTGGTCTACATATATCTAGACATCTAGGCACCTGATTTACAGCTTGCTGTTGAAGTCCATGACGCACAGATTCTTCAGACCCACATGTCCCAACTGAAATGTCATTAATTTAAGATGATGTTGCTGTATAATCTCAATTTTAGTCTCATGACTAGCAGTTGCCGTCATGTTGAATGATTAGCAACTATTAGGCTCTAGGCACAGATATATTAAACACTCACATAAGGGAATACATTTTTATAATAGCTGATAAACTGTCAATCACGAAAAAAATATATAGACATTTTATTCGTTTTAAAATGTTTTTTCTTTTTCAAGATGAATTCTCAGACATGGGTGGCTGCTTCCCAAAGAGTATTGGCGTTTTATAAAGCTCTCTGGTGGCACAGCCAGCGAACACATTTAAGACCTGGAGTGAGTCTGCTACTGCTCGAAGTAGCACATCAATTCATGTCCCCAGGGAGGACAGCATGCATGAAGATGTGGCTTAGCTAAAGTGATTTTGAAGTACACTAACATTCCTTTGGCAAGGCAACCTGTGCTTCAGCTCCTGAATTTTTCAAAAATCAGATGCAGCTTGCCTCGTCCTGACACATGCTTGTCGATAAAATCTCACAGCACAAAAGCGAATATATAAAAGATAAAAGAAGATTTAAAGATAAAATTCCTATATTTCTTTAAATTTTAACCTACTGCAGGAGCAGTGTGTGAGAAAGAAAGCACCCCCTCAGTGGTTATAGGAATTAGGCAGCCAGACGCTGCTGGTCTGATGCACTTTGTGTGGACGCTTTAACTTCAGCACAGTTCCTGGGAGGAAAGACACCAACAATTATTTAAAGATGTTGTTTCCAATAAATAGGAGAGAGTCTATTTGCCCATTTGAGAACAATTTAGTGTCCATCGTTCCACACCGCAAGACAGTTTTTCACATGGGGAAAACTTACAGAACTCACTGGGAGATCCTTCTCTGAGAAGAGTGGCAACTGTCCACTGTCCAACTGTTTGTTACAAGACCCGACTACATGCTGTGTAGAATAAAACTGAACAAGTATGATTTGTTTGCATGGACTGTCAAAGAAAACACTTCTCTCCACATGGATTAGAAAAACAACTTTTGAAACGTTAAAGACGAGACAAAGAAATCACATTGGAAAGGACAATATTGTCAAGTTTGGTTAAATCAAACAGAGTTCATGACTGTTCAGCAGTGTTGGAGGCGTAATGCCTTAAAAATATTTTGCAGTCTCTAGATGGACAACGGACAGTTATCACACCTGTCATGAACAATGTATAACAGGGTATTCTACTTTCAAATGTGAAGCTTTCTTTCTAAAGTTAAAGCTTGGCTGATATTGTGTTTTGCAACAGGACAATATTATATAACAGAACATCTGACAAAGAAACTTAAATGTTACAATGATCCAGTCAAAGTCAGAAACTTTTCAGAATATTGAATAGAACATTATATAGAAGAATTATGAGCGGAACTGATAACCTCTCATAAAAAGTCATTGCTTCAGATATTTCAACCAGAGAAATTGTTAAGTTTCTTAGGCAGGAATGTCAAGTGCAAAATTGTATTACTCTAAAGTGGACAGGCCTTATTGTTACACTGACCAGTCTCAAGATCAGACAGAATGTATATCTGATGACAATGCAGAAAAGCGTCCATCACGTCCATCATTGTCCACTTTCATCTTATGAACGCAACAGGAAATGCATCGGAGATCTGTAAAAAAGAACTAAATTCAAAATCTGGCCATGGTGACATATTTATTCATATAAAACACTTGGTCCAAGCTAACAGTGTCTACTTCGTTTTTTAAATCGATTAAATTCAGCCAAAGAGGTGGATTTTATTTATTGTCTATGAGCACATGATATAACATTCAAAATACTGCTTGAAGTTGAATATTTGCCTCACTGGTGTGAACAATCCTTCACTATATCATACATAATGCCATGAATTCTTAATACGCTGTATATGTGCGAAGCATTTCAAAAAGATCGAGCAGATGCTGCAGTGCCACAGTGCCACAGAGGATTTATCACAACACTATGACAAGTGGAAGCAATCTGAAGTACCTCAATCATAAATCATTTCAAAATAACAAAACCAAAGAGTATTTATCTCTTGGTATCTTAAGATATCATGAACAAAAATCTTTATATTAAAATAATTATGTTCTGTTGTGTCTGTGTTGAAACGAAAAAAGAAACAAAACTATCTCTTTTGTTCTGTGGATGTCTGAATTTCAATTTCACACCCCACTGAGCTTTTTTGAAACCAGGGGCACACGTTGAGAGCCATATATTTGAGAGAACATAAAAGATAAAGGGTAAATGCAGCCTACAAGAGACCTGATCCCCATGAGAGACGAATAATTTCCTTGCAATTTTGAAATCTCTTGAAAAATCACAAGAAAACGAGCTGAGGCTGTGATTGCTCAAGGTGGGCACGACATGGGGAGGCATGACGCTCATATTGAAGCCATTTTCACTCTGGAACACAAGGGATGTTCAGGAAAATGAGCAGATCATTCACAGTGGAGGTTTTCTGTAGTAGCTTCTCACACATGCTCTTCACACTCTTGTAGAAGCATGAGGGAAGGGCTGCGGGCATACGGCTGATGACGCAAAATCCAATGCAAAAAGTACGTTCAAATGATAGCTGTTAAAAAGTAGTGGCTGATGCTCCTTGATGGCCACTGTGTTTATATAAATGCTGCATTTATCAGAGCATATCACTAAAAACGAGAAGTGATCAGACAGCAACATTCAGGTCAGCAGTAGCAGCACCTTTCACCTGAATGCACACTCAACTCATTCCAGAGCAGCAAATGTTCTGAAATGTTTGCTGTTATATTCAGATCTTCTCAACTGCTTATTTTACAGACGTACTAAGTTCGCAGCAACACATCAGTGTCACAGATTATGTCAGTTTTGTGATTTTGACAGTTTTCATTACACACATCATTCCACTGTTTTCTCAACATGTTTTCCAGCGTGTGAAAATGTTGAAGATCTGAAAATCTCAGAAACTCTTGGCAAAACATGAACGAC